GTTATTTCTACGTTGAATTTGAAAGATATTTTGGGTGGGAAGTTGTTTTCTTTTAGAACCTGAAATACTTCACTCCAAGCTCTCCTTGACTTAAGGGTTTGTGTTGAGAAGTCTACTGTGATTCTGCTAGGCTTTCCTTTGTAGGTGATTTGTTTGTTTTCTCTTAACAGCTTTTAATATTCTGGTCTTGTGCTGAATTTCTGGGATCTTGATAATTATATGCCTTGGTGTGGATTTATTTTGTCATGGCTCATTAGCTTTTTATACGCCTCACCTATTTGCATATCAAATTATTTTTTCATGTTTGGAGAGTTTTCTACCAATACTTCTTGGAATAGGTTTTGTATGGCCTTTGCATTATCTCTAACTCGCTCACTGACCCCAATCAATCTAATATTGTTCTTTTTTTTTTTTGCATCATTTTGCAATTGTTGGATTGATTTTTCATGGTCTATTGCCATTTTCAAGGTATCTTTCTATTTGTGCTCCTTAACTGCATTCCTGTCTTCTAGTTCACAAATTCTGTCCTCTCCTTCATTTAATCTACTGCATATACTTTCAGTGGAATTTTCAATCTTGTACATGTCTGTTTGAATTTGTTCTGTGAATTTCATTTCTTTCTTAGGTTGGCCATTCATGTTTTCAATCATTTTCTTAATTTGCTTTGTTTTTTATCTATATCTACTCTAGATTCATGGAGCATGTCTTTCATTTTGATGGTCATTTCTTTTTTATCTGAGAGATTATTTTCTCTATAACCTCAGGTACTTGTTTTCTTATTTCTGCTTCAATCATCACAGAAAAATTAGGTGGGTCACTTCTGATTTCTTCTGTCTCATTGTCTCCTGGACTTTTCTTAGGTGTGTTGGAGGTCTGGAATTGCATTTTTCTTCTGCATCTTGTCATTTTCTATTTTTTAAATTTAATTTAATTTTATTTTATTAATTGAGTTTATTGGTACATTTTAGGTATACAGTACAGTTACATTCATTATTGGGATCTTGTACCTTTATATGACAAGTCTTGGTTCTCATTTTTTTCCTTTGTCCCTGCCCTCCCTTCACCCCTCTTCTCCTCCCCTTTTACGAACACTTTATTTCCATTTTTCATTTTCTCATATTTTTTTCTTTTCCCTTATTACCTTTCCCCTGCCCTTCCCACTTTCCCTACACCTTTAGCCTCTTTTTTTCTATTTCACATTGTCAATTATCTCAATAGGATCTTATGTAACATTATAGTTTATTCACACCAGAGAAACTATTCGGTATTTACACGTGTGGCTTATTTATTTCACTTCGGAGTGTATCCTCAATATGAATCCATTTTCCTATGAATGAATCAAATTTCTCATTCTTTATGGCTGAGTAGTGTTCCATTTTATAGAAAAACCACAACTTCTTTATCCAGTTTCCCCCACACCAACTGATGGGCAAATGGGCTGTTTCCAAGTTTTAGCTATTGCAAACTGTGCCTATATAAACATAGGTGTGCATATATCACTGTGATATGATTCTTTTAATTCTTTTGGAAAGATACCCAGAAGAGGGATGGCTGGGTCAAATGGAACCTCCAGTCCAAGCTCTTTGAGGTATCTCCACATTGATTTGCATAGTGGTTGCACCAACAATGGAGAAGGGTTCCTTTCTCCCCACAACCCCACCGACATTTGTTATTGTGTGATTTCTTCATAGCAGCCATTCTTTGTGGGGTGAGGTGGAATCTCAGTGTTGTTTTCATCTGCATCTCTCAAATGACCAGTAATGTGGAACATTTTTTCATATATGTACTTGCTGCTTTTACTTATTTGTCTGAGAAATGGCTGTTCATTTCAGATGCCCATTTTTGAATCATGTCTTTATATTTAGGGGGATTGGTTAGTTTGAGTTTTTTTATATATTCTAGATAGTAGTCCTTTGTCTGAGGAGCAGCTGGTAAAAATTTTTTCCCACACTGTAGGTTGTCTCTTAGTTTCCTCCAGTGAGGATGGTCAGATCCTTTGTCAAAGATGAGGTAGCTGAGTACATCTGGAGTTGTTTTTGTGTCTTCCAGTCTGTTCCACTGATCCTCAGATCTGTTTCTTTGCCAGTACCATGCTGTTTTTTTCACAGTGGCTTTGTAGTATAGTTTCAAATTGGGAATTGTTATACCTGCTGCCATGTGTCTGTTGCCTAGGATGGCTTTTGCTATTCTAGGTCTCTTATGGTTCCAAATGAATTTTTGGATTCTTTTTTCTAATTCTGTGAAATATAGTGTTGGAATTTCAATTGGCATTGCATTGAATCTGTATAGCAGTTTTAGTAGTATGGCTATTTTCACTATGTTCATTCTTCCTACCCAGGAGCAGGAGATATCTTCCCATTTTCTTTTATCCTCTTCCATCTCTTTTTTCAGAGTGCTATAGTTTTCAACGTAGAGGTCTTTTGCTTCTTTTGTTAGATTGACTCCTAGATACTTCATTTTTTTGGATGCTATTGTGAAAAGAATTGTTTCCCTAATTTCTCTCTCAATGAGCCTGTTATTTGTGTACAAGAAGGCTATTGATTTTGGGGTGTTAACCCTGTATCCCACTACTCTGCTGAAATTATCAATTAGATGCTTACAAATTTCTTATGGCAGGTAGCTTTATCACTAGTATCAAGGCTTCTCTAGGAAATTTCTATTTTTCAGAGATGTCTTCTGGACATATGTAATATTTGGTCTTTATGTCTGTCCCAAGATCCTACCTTCGCAATTTATTAAGGATCAGAAGTTGCTATTTATTTGTTTCAGCACCTAGTTCATTGGTAGTGGACAATGGGATGATTATGGCCCAGACAATCTCAGTGTTGTCATACAAGGGAGAACAACTGATTATAACAGGTAGGACATCCCGGCTGAACTAGTACAGTTAGCAGTATCAACAGCCTCAAGCACTGCTTAGAAACTGGCAAATTGTGCTGACTATCAACTTGGTACCTTTAACCATAGGAGCAAGATCCACAGCTGTATAACAGAATCCAACATAAACCAGGAGCTTATATTCAGTGAACTTCCCCTTTAGTGGGATGATTTTTTCTTAGAGGGGATTTAAGAGAAATAGGGGCCAAGGCAGATAGGTGGAAGGAGATGTAGTAGAGGCAAGGCTAGAGGACATCAGATGATCAACTATGGTTTGGGTGACTGGAGAACCAGGCAGGCGAGAAAGCCTGAAGGATAAAGCATAAGAATATTGAAGTGAATCAGAAAAATGAAAGCTAATTTTCACCCACATGAAAATTCATAACTTTAAGAGAGAGAGTTGAAGAAAGAGAGAAGGAGGATAAGCAGAACAAGATAAACATAAAGGTAAAAGCTTAGAAAGAGGAAACAAAACCAATAGAGAAAGAAGAGAAAAAATAAAATAAACACTAAAATTCCTCTGGATTCCATAGTTCTGTGGCAGTGCCCTGGGTAGGATGTTTCCCAGAACAGTGCTGTGCATCCCGGCCAAGTCTGGGTAGAGGCTGATCTTACAGGAACTGGACTGGTCTTCAGCCAGCTGCTTTTAGGTGTCTCTCTCTGGCCCACCCAGGCCTCCTTACTGTGGGCTGTGGTGCCTATGGTCAGGGGCAGCCCAGGGCTGCTCTCAGTCCCATGTAGGTGGCTCGCCTTGGTTGCTCGATCCTTGTACAGCCTCTCCTGTTTCACCCCACTGGCACTTCCTGTCCCAACATGCTGAGTACTGCTCAGTTCTGCTAGATCTTTGATTTCCTCTCCAGGGGATTATTGCCATTGCTAAAATCCCACAGGTCTCCATCTTTTAAGCCTCTGGTTACTTTTCAACTGTGCTGAGGTCCCAATAGCCACTGCAGTCTGTAAAATCTTTGTTCCAGTAACTCTCTTTGCGCTCCCAGCGAGCTTTGATTTTCAGTATCAACTCTAGGAGAGGCCCTCTCTTTGCTGCTCACCGCTGTGCCATCCTCCCCCGCTCAGACCTTCCTGAGCCTTTCTGGGCTCTGTCTCTGTCCCCTGGGAACCTCTGTCATGGAGGGCGGGGTCTCCAGAATGTAATTTTTTTATCTGAGTGGTTTTGATCTCAACTTTATTGAATATGTGCATGTATATATGGGGTCTGTAGATTAGAAGCACCTACTGTACTTTTAATTATTCATTAATTTTTTTTTCATTTAGCACAGTTTATGCACAAAGCCCCTGTTGTAATCCCCCCCCAAAAAAATGAAGTGGAAGCCACAAGGGTCTTATACTTCAGTAGAGATAGTGATAGCAAAGCAATTAATCTAATGGCCTGTCATGTTGTCCTCATAAATACATTCATATCGTAAGACTAACACGTTCTTGGTTTAAAAAAATATATATCTTGGGTGACATTTGGAAATCTCTGGAAGTGCAGAATCAAAGCAGAGTCACAATTTAAATAACACAGATATTTAAAAGATTGTTTTCTATATAGACCAGAAGGAGGTGATTAAAGGCAGGAAGAATAAGTAAAGGTTTACCGAGGAATGAGGGATTGGGAAGCAGAGACTCGCAGACTTAGCAGAATGGAGTGGAGGAAAGAAAGAGCTTACATCTAAATGGATGATTTAATGTAGTGATTGTGATTACTAAACAGGGCCTTTTCAAAATATAAAAACCTCATTGTTCCTGTAAATTTGCAGAATCAGAATTTTAGGTGAATTAGGCGCACATGTATTTAAAAATATGATGATTCTGATGTGCGTCTCAGGCATATCAGAAACCACTAAATGAATTACTGTGTGCTTTTTCCGCTGCAAGAAGTTGTCAAGTTGTCTAAGCTATTTTGAATCTTAATATACTTAATATGCATGTCTATGCATTTCTCTTCTGCATCTTCTCGAATTCAGCTTTCAGTTCTTGAGAATTTTTTTTTCTGTTATTTGGTACCAAGTTGTTTTGTAAACTTATTGATGAGTATTTCTCTGCAGAAGCAATTTTGAAATGAAATGCACTGCCAAAGTTTTAAGGAGCACCTGTAACTTGTTTTTCTTATTAAACAACAGGAACAAAAGCCAGGATGGACGTTCAAACATGGCATCTGAGAGCTGCAAAGCTGGCTCTAGCACTGGCAATTATCCACTCCAAGCCAGCAGACAAAAGCAGCAGAGAATACACAGAGCACCTTGCAGCACTGGCGTCCGAGCAGGATGCAAACTGCAGATCAAAAGTCGAAGCCTTGGAAGCTGAAGTTCTGCAATTGCGTCAAGAAGTTCTTCTGAGTAGGATTTGCTCGGAATTGTTTAAGGGCGGTGAGTAGATGAAAGCAGTTTCAGTAATATATCGACCGATTTCATTCCCCCTGCACAACTGCTTAAAAATCTATTGTCAAGACAGATCAGTTCAGTTTCCCTGACAGACTTCTAAGCCTGTAAAGATTTTTTTCACTTCCAGTCACTCATTAAAAGCTTATTGTCACTATCTACTGAGTAGCATTACAGCTGGAATGAAGGTATGAAAATGAAAGTAGTCTGTGTATAAAGGCAGCAATGTTTTAACCTTATTAAAAATTCATTTTAGGGCCAGGGATTTAGCTCAGTGCCTCAGCGAAAGGTCCCATGTTTGATCCCCAGTACCAAAAAAGAAAAAAAAAATCATTTTAAACTATCAGCATTCAACTTTACTGTTTTGCTAACCTTTTAATTTTGCTTTCATATGAAAGTATTCACCTTGTACTCATATACCAAGGACCAGCTCTTGGCCAGGTGGTAGATGATGAAAACCCCAAATCACTTCAGAATAGATGCTGTTCTCACCATTAAATACCTGCCATTCTATAAGGGAGAACAGACCTATGAATAACCCTGCTATGCTGTTATATTAGAAAGATTGACAAAACGCAGAGGAGAAAGCCATCCATTCCGGTTGCTTTCTGGGAAGGTTTCTGAGGTTGGTCTTTCAGAGTCTGTCTGCCGGTCAGTGGAATGATCACGCAGGCAAGAGCACGAGATCACAGAGAATCGAGTGGAGCACGCATGTTCTGCGCTGCATACCGCCAGCGCTACATTTCCATGGTACGTTGAGATGTAAAATGTGAGATGTGACAGGGCAGAGAGAAAGAGAGGTGATCTGAAACGGGCTCAGGAGTGCTTTCAGTGTCAGCTGTAGGACTATTTTACTGATACTTATTACTGAGTACAGTCTCCATTAGAATACTTGTGAGAATGAAAGGGGGTCTGTTTGTTATTACACTGAAAAATGGCCAAAGCAGGACTCACTCAAGCAAATTACAAGCTACATTACCTCATCCACGGGTACTCACAAGAGCCATGGAAGTTTCTTGAACGAACAGTGACACTCACTTTTTGATTGGAGCATATAATTCTGAAAATTAAAAAAATTATATTAATTTTTTGTATAAAACTCTTCCCTGCCTTCTAATTTTACTTCACATTAGATTTAGACTTCAGAGAGTGGCCCAGAATACTTCAGATAATGTCACTTTTGTTTACCCCTCTGGTGTCATTTCATGTACCCTGCTCATTATAAATGTGGCTCCAATCAACACAGGCCTTGAGCCTCTATTGTCTCTCTCCCTCTCCCTCTCCCTCTTGATTTCCATCTCCCTCTCTCTCTGAGTATGTGTAGCTTCTCTTCCTACAGCTGTTATTCTAAATTCTACCACCTCAGTGAAGTGTTCCCTAGCCATTGTGTACACAGGTCCTTATGTCATTCCCCAGTAGTTATTCTTTAGATAAGCACCTCCTATAGGTTCGTTTATGTATTTACTAGGTTACTGTCTGCCTCCTGAACCAGTCTTAAATTCACCAAGGAGAAAACTTTGATTTTCACAGCATTTTTTCACTCAGTTGCCAGCTTAAAAATTGTTATACAGTATCATCATTAGGGTATACTGGATAAACAGATTTGAAAAGCAAAGGCCTGGAGCTCACTGCAGAATCTGGTGTCCCTATCAGAAAGCCAAAGGGTCTGTGCTAGACACCTGAAGTATCTCATCTGGAAGCCTGAAGGAACTGGAGAGGAATGCACAGAGGCAGTGACAAAGAATGGAACTCCTGTAAAGTGCAAAGGGGCGAATTCCTTCTTTCAAACAAGCCTGTTGGTGAGTGCCACTCACATCCTGAGTGGGTCATCTATTTTCAGTTTGTAGATTACAAATCATCCAGACACATCTGCAGCTGTGCTCCATCGATCCTGTAGGTGTTTCTTAATGCATTCAATTTGACACCATAATTAACTATCACACACAAGGAGGTTCTCAATAAATATTTGTTGAATAGAAATAGAAGATGTTAATGTGAAATAGAGGATGTTTGGGCTGTAGTAGTGAGTGGAGACAGAAAAGAACAATTTTAAGAGCTTATACAGTACTAAGGCTCCTGCAGTGATTTGGCTATCCCCACTAAAATTCATGTTAAAAGGTAGTCTTTCTTTTGAGATATTTGGAGGTGGGACCTGTAAGAAGTGATCAGAATATGGGGACTGTGTTTCTATGAATGGATTAATGGATTCATGGGTAATCTTGAGAAGGAATCTCTTCTAAAAAAAGTCAGTTTGGTTCTCACTGTGGTATACATTCCCCTTGTTGTGTGATACTCTGCCAAGTCCCCACCACCAAGAAGCCCTTCACCAGGTGCAGCCCATGGACTTTGGGCCTCTAAAGCTGTAAGATGAATAAATCTTTATAAATTACCTAGTCTCTGGTATTCGGTGACAGCAACAGAAAACTGACTAAAACAGCCCATGTGCAGAAGGATCCATTGGACAAGTTCTGTGATAGTGAGAATTTAAAAGATAAACGTTTATGAAGGACTTCAGAGTAGAAACTTCAGACAATCGTGAATATGATTAGAGAGTGATTAGGGAGATGTTGGTATTTTTGATAATTTTGCTTTTTTATCCTTGTTTATTAAACAGATTATAATACACTGAATGCAGATAATGAATACAGAAGTAAGCTCATAGAATAAAAGTTTTCTGAGTGGAAGCTAATCTCTGGAATATATTGGATTATCTTGAAGGAAGACAGAAGTATGATCTGAAAACTCAGAATGAGCCAGCCATCCATAGGCATAGATTTAAGAGTTTTAGGAGTCTGGGGCTGTTAAGCAGTAGTTGAAGTTATACCTGTAGTTGAAACTGACAAGGAGATTGAGTTGTGATGGTGTTGCGGGGGCGGGGCATCCTGAAGATTACAGCATTGTAGGAGGGAGAGAGAACCAGGAAAAATGATCTCCTAGGAGTGTTCAGGTGTGATGCAAACATGTCCTGGAGGCTGTAGGGAGCACACTTATTATCATGAGAACCTAGTAGTGAGCTAACACCCAGGTGTTGCTGAACTCACTAGCCACATTTTGACCTCTCCCAGAGTTCTTGGTGATGGTCTCTTTGAGTAAACTCAGTGAATGAATAGCAATCTAGTCAACTCTTCATTTTCTTTCTGTGCAGAATTATAGAATTAATAAAATGGCACAAGTGTAAAAATTTCCAGTAATCCTAAGCACGGTCATAAACACCTCTAGTGTTGAACTTATTGTTTACCACTCATGGTCTATTAATAACCCTGGTATAGTGTGCATATTATTTGTAGAATGAATGTGCATAATATACTATAAGATAACTTATTTTCTATCTGACCACCTTTACTTATAGTCCTGGTAAGGTAATTTTTCAAAAATTATATAATTAAGGGCCAGGGATTTAGCTCAGTGGTTCCACCACTTGCCTTGCATGTGCAAGGACCGGAGTTCAATCCCCGGTACCAAAAAAAATAATATAATTAAAATCAGTTTTACTCTCAGCAGGATTGCAGATAGAGCATTTCAGTGCAGATGTTTGGAAGTAATATAGCTCTCCATCTGTTGGCATAAACTTTAAAAATGAAGAATAAGTGGTTAGATTCAGATAAATAGAATAACTGTTAAAGGGGAGACTAACAGGTGAGAAATGGGGGTGAGATATCAGATTGGAAAATAAAGTAAGAGCATAGCAATTACTGAAGACTGCATTCTTTGTTCTAAGAAAATTCCATATCTGCAAATCAAAACTATATTATCGATATATTTATATTATTAAACATTTCTAGCTGGAATTTTTAGGATTACTTTACATGTGCAACTATTCTTACATGTTTAAAAAGAGCAAATTCTCAATAAATGTTGAATTGAATGCTTCTTGCCAGATTGAAAGGCTGGGGAACTTAATTTACCACATCAACTATCCATTGAAGCAACATAGCAATCCAGAATTAAATGAAGCAGAGTTGAATGGGAAAGTTAACAGAAAAAGAAATATGAAATCGTTTATGCAGCCTTTCAGGAACTTGGCTATTTCCTTTTTCTGACTTTTTTCCTATTGCTTGTTCAAGAAGAATATACTTCTTTATTAAGAAATCAGGCTCTAAAAAAGGGATAAATACAACTTAATTTTACAATTATGCTACATGTTTATTTTACTTAAATGTTCACTAGTGGTTTAAAGAAGGAGAGGAGAGAGGGAAACAGAAACGGAAGAAGCAAGGAAGACAAGAAGGCAGATAAATTTCTCAAAATCTTTGATGTGACAGACATGCCTACTAAAATAAGAAACTCCTGTCCTTGTTTCTAAAGCACTCCACTTTTATCTGGGAATAAATGTGCTCATGCCCATAACTTCGGCCATAAAAGGCTTAGTTAGACTTGTTTTGCCAATTTTGATCCACGTTTGAGCAAGGTCCTACCTGTGGCAAGGGAAAGGTAACAAGCAATCTTCTGAGATTTTTGTCAAGATTTTCTTGTTTAGGTAAAGACTTAGAGGCTAAGGAAAGCAAATAATCTTAAAAACATTTTACCTCAGCCTCTTGTTTCCAAAACGGAGCGCTATCACATGATGATATGATAGAATGGTGGTAGCCATTTTGCAACTCTGAGGCCATACTGAAAAATTAATACCAAAGGAGGTAGACAAGAAGAATGAGAAAAGTTTAGATTCTTGTTGATACTGTTGAGTAGCTTAAACAATTCTAAGATTATCTTGTTAGAAATTTTTAAAAGGTAAACAGTGGTTTAAGTCATTGTTACCAGGTATCTTGTTCCTTCAGTCTGAGCACATCATAATTTATATAGTGAGCAGGGGGTCGGGGCCATTAATGAATGAATGAGAATATTACTTTCTTTCTCAAGAATATTCATGGTCTCTGGAGAGAAAATAGAGGAGAAAAACTGTGTTCTTTAATCTAGGATAGCTTTATATGAAAGATGGCCTCATAATATTGGCAAGGATTTTATGTAGTTTTGAGCAGGTGGGTGAGGGA